CTGCCATCCATCAATGCATGCAGTGGGTGACCAACGGGGCGGTGTCTGTGAGGGTGGAGTGGGGGTGGACACATGGCGGCGGATGACTGAGAGTCATCCATCCAGTTGGGGAGGGCTCTTTCCTTTCCCTTCACGGCTGTCCGGCTCTCATAAGCTCCGGAGCGGTCGGTGTCAGTTGGGTGTGAGTTGGGTGTGCACGACTGGCGCATGAGCGTGTGACTCTATTTGTGAGCGTCGACACGGTGTGGTGGGTGGTGAACGATTTGTGCGTACAGACGACTGACTGTCCATGGCTATGTCGACGTCCTGCCTGACTCGCCGATGTGTGGAGATCTCTTTGTAACGAATCCACTCGCTGTGTGTGTACCGCGGCAAACTACAGGCCACACAGCAGGCAGGCAGGTCGTGTGTTGTGCTGCGGCTGGCCAGCGGCCGATCGATTTACTTGTCTGCGGAGAGTGAATGCTTAATTGCTTTATCGGCCTGATCTCACTTGATTTGTGTCGATTTGCTCACTTGATTTGCTCACCGACGGTTGATCATCCCACGAACAGCAGTTGACATCGAAGCCATGTCTCGTGCACGCCAAAATTGTGACTGAGTGCCTGTCTCTTGTCAGTCGATCTCTCCATCCATCCATTGATCCATCCATCCATCCCTCCGTCCGTCCGTCTGTCTGTCTGTCTGTTGCGTCTGTTTGTTCGAGTCAGCTCTCAGGTCAGCTGCAGCCGCTCCTTCACGCTCATTATGTCGTTCAGTAGTCCCTCGGTGCACTTGTGCATGGTCTCGGAGCACCTCTTGCGCATGGTCTCGGAGACGCCTGGCTCGCTGCCGAGCTCGGTCTCGAACTCGCGGTAATGCTTGATGACATGCTCTGTCGTCTCGATCGCGGCCTTGCCCTCCTCCTTGTCCTGCGTGGCACACATGCACACGGAGACAGACGGAGTGAGTGAGCATGTCTGGTTGACTGCCTGTCTGGTTGACTGTGTGTCTGGCTGACTGCCCACCTTGGCGTTGCGCAGCTTGTCCGTGCAATCGTTGGCGTCGCATTGAATCCTCTGGACGATGAAGTCCTCTAGCGAGCCGCGGCCAAACAGGCCAGTCTGAGCCCGCCAGGCGTTGGATGAGGTAAGCGACGACATGACAGAAGCAATCGACGACAAAAGTCAATCAACAGTCAGTCACTGAAGCCGCGCACACGTGGCTCCACGGACTCGCTCGCCGACCTATGGGCTGCTGCGTGTACACGTACGTACGTATGCAAGTATACATGCGTGTGTCTATGCAGCAGGCTTACTTAGTGTCTACGCATTTGTCAACAACGTGGCCTATCTCTCTCTTTCTCTCTTCGCTCCACACGTTCACAGAGACATGTATTGCTCAAATCCTGCTGCACTCCAGACCACACAGTCTCGGCCACACTGTCTCTCAGTTCAGGTGTGGGCGATGGTCTCGAGCAGTATCTCATAATGCGACGACAGGGGCGTCCCGTCATGCACATGACGCACAGCACGACACAACACCGGCAAATCCGCTTCCCTGCAACCAGACACCACCAACACAAAGACCGAATGAGCACTCTTCTCACAGCCACCACAGATCTGACGTGGCTGCTGACCTGCTGACAAACTTGGCAACATAGAGCAAGAGGTTGCGCACTCAGTGGCCGCCGCTTGACGCCCCGACCCAGCACATGACGACGCATCACGGCCGCCAGCGACTCCTCTCCATTCAGCTGCGGCACGAAAGGTGACGGAAAACTGTTCTGCAGCCAGCCCTCGTGAGACTGGATGGCCACAGGGATGAGGTAGAAGAGAACGTCCAGATCGGTCGTCTCGCGGCCCTCGACAGACACAGGCTCGGTGGTGGCGATGAGGGACGCGTTGCTGGCTGGGGCAGGCAGCACAAACAGACTATCGGACGTCGACTGAATCAAGATATGCAGACGTGCAGCAGAAGTGGATGTCCGCACGAGTAACTTGCTTCACGTGTTGTGCTATGGCGTACCTGTACGGCTTGCTTGCTCATGTGGAAGGCCTCGAGGGCGATGTCATTGCCTTTACTGACGGTGGCCACGCGGACACGAACACCTCCCCCTCCTCCCTGCCGTGTCGCTGTATGCACCGCCGCTGCAGCAGCGAGGCGGTGATGATCTTCTCACTGCTGCCCACGGGTGTCTGCTCGTCGCGGCTCGTGAAGATCCAGCCCACCAGCCGAAGAACGAGCAGCTCGGCGACTCTGAAAAGAAAGAGAGATATTAAAGTGAGAAGAGAGCCACGTACGTCGCGTGGTTCTTGTTGTCTGCTGACCTGTCAGCACTGTCAAGTTCCCTGTTTGAGGACAAGAGCTACATCCACGCACAAACACGCACATAGATCCTGCCGTTCAACTGTCTCGGCACACACCGACCTGGTCGAGGTCGCATTCCTCCCCCTCTCTCCATGCCATTGCCGACGGCTGCGTGACGGCCTCCACGGTGATGCGGCCTGTCGACGCGTCCACCGTGCCGTACAGCAAGGCAGCACCCCTCACAGAAGTCTCTGTGCCGTTCCTCGCCGCAGCAAATGCCCTCATGCCGGAGAGGAACCACTCAGCAGCGCCCGAACACGCTCACCTGCATACACCGTGCAGGCAACGGATCTCAACCACCGAATGAATCATTCTTCCGCTGATTCATCCGTCCCCCATTCACTTACCTGCTTGACCACCTTATCAGTCTGCGCCTTGACCTGCAGCCTCTTGTTCATCTGCTGCCGGTCCTGCATCGACATCTGACCCACACGACCACCGGTTCGCCGCCTCAGCCGACCGCTGCGCATCGATGAGAGCTCAGGGTAGGGCACATAACCATCACGCACGTACTTGGCTGTTGTCGGCCTCGCAGGATGGGGCTCAGATGGCAGGCGTCCTGATGGCGCAGCCGGCGGCGTCTGTGAGGGCTTGTCAGCTGATGGCGGTCGGAAGAGGTAGATGATCTGGCCGTTCTGGATCTTCAGCCTCTGCAGAGTGGCGCTGTCGCTGAGCTTGAAGGCGTCGCTGGGATCCTCTGCAAACGGGAACGAAGACGCATCTCGGTCAAGACCCAACTGAACGACCGAGCACGTCACACAGCGAGAGCCTAACGGGCTTGTTTGTCCTGTCCCCTGACCTTTCTTCTGATGGATCGCAGTCTTTCGTTTGTCCTGATCTGGTCCTCATGGCGACTCTCTTGAGCTCTCCCGTCGGCAAGCTCACCCGAACGATGATAGACTCAGCCGCACCCGCAACACACAGCGCCTGGCTCGCGATGCCGACGACCAGGCAGACGCAGAGCTGAATAAGAAAGGGCGCTGCCGATGAATTGCCGGATGCTGGCGATGCTGAAGAAATTGCCACTGATCCACTCATCGATTTCAAAGATCTCAGCGACAATCGCTCAGCCGAAGCCTGTGCCTTTGTCCGTAGCATGCCGCATTGGCGAGCTCAAAAAGCTCGATCTGCAAGCTTTTTCTCCTCGGGAGGTGAATGGATGGCGTTATGGCCTTTCCCGCAGGTGCTGTGGTGTTGCACCTGTCGGCCGCACAGACTCACTGTAAGCGTGGCGCCTGAATAAGCACAGTTCAGGTATTGTCTGTTTCGACGTTGGCTCATGCAGGTACATAGCTGTGCCCATGGATGTAGCAGTGCCAGCTCCCGCCAGCGGCGCGAAGGCAGCCCGCTCCGACTGGCGGGACCGGCGGTTTCCATTGTCGGCGGAGCTGCCTCTTAACGTGCTCAAGAGCGTGTTCAAGGGCAGCAAGGTTCAGCAGTATAAGCTAGATAAACTGCTTGAGATATACGACACCTGGAGACGCGTCAGAGGGGACGGTAAGGCAACACACACACGGGCAATGGGAGTGGGTGACGTGATGCAAGACTTGCACATGTCATTTTGGTGCTTTGTGTGTGGCGTGTCTGTTGTGTGCAGGGAACTGTTTTTATCGTGCCCTCGGTTGCGCCCTGTTGGAGCGGATGAATGCGGGCGAGTACACGTTCAACATCCCTACCAAGGTGCTGGAGGACACCAACCTGGCAAGGGAGTGGGAGAGCCTGCTGTGCCTCCGTGGAGAAGAGCTCCACATCGCCCTCACGCGCGGCGACCTCGACGAGCCCATGAGTGGGTGCACAGCAACACCCGCCCCACAGCAGACATTCATGACCGTGTCGTGCACTTTGCTCTGCTGTTCTTTCCTTCAGTCATGATCTTCCGTGCTGTCATTGCCCAGTACATGAAGGATCACGTGGACATGCCCGTGACACCGTCTGGTGATGATGGTGAGCGTGGGCTCACGATCGCCGAGTACGTGCGGACCTACGCCATTCCCTCTCGTAGCAGCCCCAGCCCCGGCGCAGGTGACGCCTCATCCTCATCGGACTCGCCCACACCAAAGGAGGCCGCCCTGCAGCAGCAGGGGCAGCGGCAGGGGCAGCAGGGGCAGCGGCAGGGGCAGGGGCAGCGGCAGGGGCAGGGGCAGCAGCAGGGCGAAGGCGAGGAGAAGCGGTTCTTTGAGACCGTCGAGCAGTACACAGACATGGAGGTCCTGCACATGGGTGAGTGATGGGGGAGGGGGGACTGCTACGTGGCGACACAGATACGTGGGGTTGGTGGCCACTATGTCTGTGTCTGTATGTGTGTGTGTCAGGCCATGATGCAGAGGGCGGGTTGGTGGTCACCGTTGCCTGCTTAGCCCTCAAGGTCAACATCAACATTGTTTTGCTGGTAAGTGACTGACACGACAACAATACCGATACGTACGAGTACACACGCCTTTCTCGCTCGACTCATGTGTCCTCCGTCTGTGTGTGTCAGGACGATACGGAGGGTAAGGAGTGCCCGCTCTACGAGTACCCCTTGGGCTCAGAGAAGTACGGCAACACACCTATCGTGCTCTTCTTCCGGCCAGGGCACTACGACGTGCTCTACGACAAGCACGTACCCAGATACACACACAACAACGACGCACCCGACGTGTGTATTGACAGCTGTGTGCTGTGGTGTGGCGTCTTGTGGTGCGCTGTCATGACCATAGGTCCAGCTTGCAGCGTTTTCCGCAGATCAGCGGGTTCGTCTCTTGTTGCAGCGACTGCAACAAGGAGACCATGCTGCGAGTGATGGTACGTGGGCACCACACCACACCACACCACACCACACCACACTCCACTTGACTGCCCCATGTGTCTGTCGTCTTGATGTGTGTGTTTGCACCACAGGACCTCTTAGCCTGCAACCATCGGCTTTGCGTCACATGCAAACTGAGGCTGGGGAAGAAGGAAGACGTAAGGAAGGCAGCAGGCTCATCACACCGTACACACACATGCACACGCGCTGCCCCAATTTCTTTGTTTGCAGGAGCCGGTGGATGACCTCTCATGTCCCGTGTGTTCGGTCTCAACCGCCGAGAATGCGGACGGTGACCAGCTGCAGTGCCCCATCTGCTCACGTCGTGAGCTCCTCGTGAGGCTCCCCTGCTGCAAAAAGGTAGGTAGCCAACCACCCGCACAAAGACGGACATGAACTCACTTCCCTGCACTGGTCGCTGCTTGTGTGTGCCATATGTGGATGGATGGATGGATGGATGGACGGATGGATGGATGCAGATCCTGTGCAAGGAATGCGCTGATGACCACCTCGGTGTCAACAAAAGGAAGATGAAGGACAAGGTAGGAAAGACCGAAGAAACAGACACACATGCATACACACATACTTCCCTCATACGCCTTCTCCTGCTCTTCCTGGCTCAGGGCCGGCGTGTGGACGTCACGGTGTGTCCCCGCTGCCAGCACAACGACCTCTTCAAGTACTTCACAGACGCAATCGGGGACCCCGACGCGTCGCCGCCGCCCCTTCCACCCATCACCACACCACCGAGCAGCATCACGAGCGCGCCGCCGCCCCCGCCCCCTGTCGACACCGCAAGCACCAGCTTACAGCGACACAGCAACACAGCACCCGCACCGCAGGCACCAGTGGCGGCCCCTCCTCCCCTGGCGAGTCTGCCCATGTCCCTGTTTCCTCCTCTGCCCCCCCGTGGCTCCCCTCCGCCATCCACTCCACCCGCACCCAAGACCACACCCCCACCCCCACCCCCACCAGCGGCCGCTCACACCCCCGTCCATCTCTGCTGCCTCTGCTCACAAGAAAGTCCGGCCGTTCTCGGATTCAAGCAGGGCGAGGTCACCTACTGCGCGTGCTTCGACTGTGTCTGCCGGAGGTGTGCTGAGCAGCTGCGAAACCCCCAGGGCCAGCGGGGTGTGGTGTCCATCGAGGGCCAGGAGGTCAATATTGACCGCTTCCTCACCCAGTTCATCCGGACGCAAGGCAGCGAGAGAGCCACATGGCTGGGGGTCGATGTGGAGGCGCTTAAGCGGCGGATGCACATCCCGCGACGCGAGCAGCACCACGAGGCGTCATCGTCGCGGCAGGGGGGAGGCGGAGAGAGAGGGAGGCGGGGAGGGGGACGGATGGGAGGACCGGTGGTGGTGGTGAGGACGGAGCTGCAGGCTCCCATCAGAAGGACCGATCGCATGCGTCTGCCCGAAATGCTGCTCATCCTCATCAAGAGCGCTGGTGAGTGAATGGCCAACTCCGCACACGAAAAACACCATCACACGTTCACGCTAACACCATGTGTGTGTGTGTGTGTGTGTGTGCATGTGTGTGTGTGTGTGTGTGTGTGATGCTCTTCAGGATTCGACTGCGTGCTGGCCTATGGAGAGGAGCTGTACAACTTTGGTCAGACGGTCGTCCATTTAAGGGTGGCTACTACACCGACCGCCTCAGACCCGTAGGGCAGAAGGGCAACACCATCGTGGCCTTCCTGGACGAGCTGGACCACGCCAGCGGCTTCCCCGCCCACCTGTCGGCGGCCATGGCGGCCATGCCCCCTCGCCCAGTGGACGACCACAAGACCCCCTACATGGCCTCCCTAGACGACTACCCTCATTCCACTGCAGTGTAGGAGGTCGTGACGCACCTCCGCAACACGGCCGGGATGTATTTCGAAATCATGACGCGGCAGCCGACGGATGAGGGGCATGAGGGCGTGGACGACAGTGAGAAGAAGGCGAGGCACGAGAGGCTCAAGAAAAGACTGGAGCAGGCGTCGAAGGTCCGCGCACAGACGACAGACACACAGCCTTCATTGACAGACAGGGAATTTCCTTCCTATGTGTGGCTGCAGCTGGAGTTCATGATGGCGGGCGGTCCTAAAAAGGATCACGGTTTGCCAGTGCTGGAGAAGCTCTTCGCGCACGACGAGCTGGGCGACAAGCCATCAGTGCTGGGCGGCCGGGTGGCGGTGCTGTTCTGCTTCATGGCGAAGATCAAGCCACAGTCGCGGAACGGCATGGGCGCCGACATTACCAATAAAGACCTCTATCCCGCCATCAACAAGGTACGCCTCGCATGCATGAGGGAGCGAGGGAGGCACCAACCACACCACCACCATCTAGGTCGGTCTGTCTGTCTGTCTATGATGTTGTCCAGATGGTCGCGCGCATGTACAGCGACATGCAGGAGTTCCGTGCCTTTGCTGAGGCCGTCGAGCAGGAGGTCCTCTTCGACGTGTATGAGCCACAAGTGGGGGGCCTCACATTTCAGGCGATCAGCCGCAAGCTCCCCCTCCTGGCCATCAACCGCCCGGCAGATGACGACGACGCCACCTTGACCAGAGAGGAGTACGACGCCGCCAGGAAGCAGCGCGAGAATTGGCTGGCGGCGGCCCGAGAGGGCCTGTACCAGGATGCGGCCCGCCCCAAGCTCCCTCAGGATCGTGCGACCGGTCGTCCAGGTCAGGGAAACGAGAGAGGCAAGGGATGGTTCCGTAGGAGCGGATTGGATGTGTGTGGCGGTCTGTGTGTCTTGTCTTATGCGTCAGGTGGTGGTGGTGGCGGTGGTGGTGGTGATGGTCGTGGTCCCACTGCAGAGCTGCCGACATCTTCGTCGTCTTCGCATCCCGGCCCTTCCTCCAGCTTCGAGTCGGATCTCTACCGTCGGACGCGTCCCGCAACCACCACCAGCACAACAAGCCGGCTCCCTCTCTTCCTCCCCCGCCCCCTCCCCA